GATAGAGGATGGAAAAGTTAGACACACAGTAATTTTTATTACTATGGGGTCTATTCACTAAGCTGCCTTAGGCAGCCGAGTGAACGACCGACCCGAAATGAAGTGAGCCAAACGCTGTTCGGCTATTAACTTCAGGTTTGTACGGCTGACTTCGAGTCAGCATGTTCGGCCGACCTGAAGTGCAGAAAGAGTTCGACTCAGCCAATCCAACATCTGGATCGGCTAAGCCGAACCTCCAGCAGGCTACTAGCTGCTGTTCGGTCTATTTTCATAGAAGCCGAACAGCCCAGCTGTCAGAAGCAGGCCGCTTGGCCAGCTTCGCCTTTCACCTCGGCTCAGTCGAGCCGAGGCATATGCCTTCGGCTCGACTGAGCCGCTCGGCCAACTTCGGGAGCTGTACGGGCTATAGTGAATAGCCCGTACAGCAGCCCTTTGGTTCTACTGAACCGAAGAGGTCCTGGGGCCGAAGCTAGTCGAAGGATCAGCTGAAGCTATGGCTAGATCCTTTGGCTGCTTCGTGAATAGATGTGTCTCCACTGTGGAGATTTGCCTTTCTATTTCACCTGGTGACCATTGTCACTGAGACAAAAAGTAAGGAGAAACCTAAACATTGAGATGTCATCAGAGTAAGAGGTGAGGGATAATGAGACACCTGTTCCTCTGATAACTTTTACATGAAAACTCCATTCATTTTGGAGAGACTTTCCTGTTAAATTCCCGTTGACTCTCTTGGACAGGAAGTGAAGAGACATCTCCTTAGCAGAACACAGACAGCAAAAATGATCTTGACAGAGGTTTTACCCCTTCATTTAGGGTTTAATAGAGGCTTTAAGTGTTTCCATGACAAGTAGATGAAATAGTTGATGCTCCCAATCTATTTCCACAGTGCTGGTGTCTAGAGACTCAGTTGCAGGCATCTGATATAGCTTGTCCAAGACCAACAAAAAACACGTTTATGAGGAGCGCGACTACCTATGATAAGAGTAATGGCCCAATGTGCTGAACTTGGAAAAATGCATAACAGTGTGCAATACAGACAACCAAAACTGATTAGTCATATAAAAGGGGACAAATTGATGACTTACAGTTGGGATGTGAGCCTATATGCCCTAGTGTCTCTCACAGAATGTTCTCCACGGTCTGTTTAATGCGATGTCCACAGCTAGCAGGTGGGAAGAGAGTAGGTGTCTGCCCGGACCGGAGTTGGAAAACGAGGTGTCAGATAGGAGTTTTTTGCACACCTTCCCCCAGCAGATCCATTTGCCACCTGTGTTTGTCCTACAGGAGTGCGCTCTAACCACTGTATGTTTCTATTGATATAGCTTGTCCACCACCCCATGTGACAGGGTGACAATGCAGCAGCACCCTAACAAGACCGGAACTTAGCACTGTCACCTTATATCAGCCAGAACAAGGTCCTCCATAGCAGGATCACCAGGTATTGCTTAAATGAAGTTGCAGATTAAAAAAGATTGAAAACTAGTTCTGAAATTACTTTGCCATGATAGAATTTATACTAGATTTTTAATACCATGTTCCATCCATATTTAGGGTGTAACCTGGGACATGGTGCCACTCCGCAGCCCACCACCCTCAACCCACCCACCCACTGACATGAATCATGGGCTTCTTCTCCCCAGGGGCTTCTGTTTATTTTTTAATTTGGCTCTGCCCGCACAGCAGTGTCATTCATTCACATATCCATTCACAAAATTTGTGAATGAAAAAACTACAAGTCTCTTTTGCCATTGCGGTAGAGGAACTTGTGGTTCTCAATGGAATACAAGCGCGGTGACCTTTACGCACTTGTAGTCTGGTGATAACTCCTTCCAGCTTTCTAACTCAAGGTCCATACTGCAGTACGCCCCTGGGGCTGGAGGAACAGTCTTCAGGAGCCTATGCATTGCACCCAATGACCTAATGATCCACTAAATCACAGTTGCAATGCTTTGTAGTAGGGCTGGTAATGATTAAAATTTTCGTGTTCGATTAATCAAATTTTTTTTTAATAGATTAATTTCGGTTAATTATAACGCACATACAGGGGGCGGGTACAGCTAGCTCTGCCTCTAGATAGGCAGAGCAAGCTGTCAGTCACGCAGACAACTGTCGGGATCCGCCTCAGCTGAGGCGCCTCAGTATACCGCAAGCTACAGCTCGCGGTATACTGAGCTTAGGGTGACAGGAGGACGCTAGTTTGTGTCCTCCCGTTAAGGAGAACTATGGGGAAAAGCCTTAACACCATAGTTCTCCTTTAAAAATGCGTTTCTTCAATTTACAGACCCCAGACATGGTTAATTGTTTCAGTCCGCCCTTAGTAGAACTAGAAATGATCAACTTTGTCTGTGAAGAATACAAGATTGTTTGCAGCTTGACATGTACACATGGGGTGGGCCGGGTCACCACTTGGGGAAGGGGGGACTCCTCACCTTCCCCAAGTGGTGACCTGACCCACCTCATGTGTACATGTCAAGCTGCAAACAATCTTGTATGTGTATAGGCTCCATCGGCTAACGAAAGGAAGAGGGGGAGGAGTCCGATGAAGTCACGGACATCGCCGTCACCGGCCTCCTCCCCCTTCCCTTCGTTAGCCGTCACGGACATCGACGTGACCGGACTCCTCCCCCCTTTTCTTTGTTAGCCGACAGAGCCACTTGGGAAGGGGGGAGGAGTCCGGTTACGTCGATGTCCGTGACGTCACAGGATCTGCGACGGAACTCCCGGAAGCCGGCGGAGAAGTGAGTACCGATCAAAATAATTTTGATCGATCAAAAAAATTAACGATTAATCGAGGGATTAATCGTTAATTTCCGTAGCCCTACTTTGTAGTCTTCAATGCAAAAAATTAATACATTAAATATGGGTGCGTTTAGTATAGCTTATCTGCAGGAAAAAAAATGACCCTTGCAATTGCTGCCCCATTGCAAGGTTTAACTGCACATTTTTGTCTAGGGATATTATGTAAAGGACTTTTGCTCCGACAGTCGGAGCCATGCTGACATTGCATCTGATGCAGGACCCATAATCATGCATTATACGGGAGGACACCGTGGGACAGTCTGCAAACTGAAGCATGGGGGAGAAAGGTGATCTGCAGGGGGAGCGGGGATCAGGTAAGTACAAGTCCTTACACAATACCCCCACAAGACATTAACAAGCAGTTTAACCTTTCATTGCGAGGGTAGCCCCACTGCAAGGGTATTTTTCCCCCTGGAGAAATGCTTACATCTTTTGCAAAAACCTGAATATGCCTTTAAAAGAGAACTAAAGCCAAACCTTTTTTTGGCTTTAGTCCTCTTTTGGATCACAGGACGACATTTACTAATGTATTTCAATGACCCAACTCAGCGTATAGTGGGCTACAGCCCGCTATTTGCTGACAGCTGGAGCCATGCATGTTCCCGACAATATTATCAGGATCCACCCCGCTGCCTGATTGACAGCTTGCTTTGCCTCTCTAGAGCCAGAGCCAACTGTGCTTGCCTCTACCCTTGTCTGCCTCTTCAATGAGCACTGGGGGAACAGAGTGAGGAGGGGGGAATCCCTATGGGGAGCAGTGACTGATAGTCACCGCTATCTGCATGAAGAAGCCATGAGCTGAGTGATCATCAGGTCGTGATCATTCAGTTCTCGATCTATATAGCCAGCTTGGGACACCTGCAGCAAGCTCTAAGAATTGGGAAGAGTATATTTTACGCTCCCAATACTTCTCCTTTAAACACAGAAGCCCATCTAGCAAACATTAAAAATGCTCATCCAGGCCTGGCCATCTCATGGCCAAACCAAATGATCCTCACTCACATAGATCCAAAAATCTGCCAGATACCGGATTGCAATATCCCAATAAACAACGCACTACACTATTCAATGTTTGCATTTCCCTGTAAGCATCTGGGCTTTTCTAATGTATACAGTTGTCATGTATTGCTCTTCTCCCAGCAATGCCATGTTGCCCTATGCTGCAGGTGATTATAGGACACATCGCACTGGGCTGTGACAACCCAGGCGAGGCAGTGATGGAAAGCAGTAATGCGCACAATATTTCGCAGGACGTGAATTGACAGCCCCTGCCTGTGTTATTGCGTCATAGGAAAACCTGGAAGAGCATCGGTGCGCTCTGTCTTGCGGCTGAGTGGCACTGCCCATTGGGGTGCTTGGTGCTGACCTGTTGGAATGGAGAAGACATCGGGATCGGGTGACTCCTCCTAGTTACCTGTACATCTGCCCTTCCTGATCACCTCCATTTGCCTGGGTGTTCTCTCCATCTATGCCTAGCACAGGGATGTGACAGAGGCAGCAGCACTGGCGGAGGAGGAGGAGGGACACAGGCGATCAGCTGGGAGGATTACAGCCTTGAACAGTCGGAGGAGAAAGAGGAAAAGGGAAGGTAGGAGGGGAGCATAGCCAGCAGGCTGGCAGGCAGCGTGTAGGGGAGGAAATAAAATGACAAGATTTATCTAGAGATCGCCGCAAACACATCGGTGCCCGGGAGAGCGAGAAGAGGCAGGAGGCTTCTATTGATCAGAAGACATTATCAGCCGAAGAGATCGCCCTCCATGCTCGCCAGCCCTCTCTGCCTTCACACGAAGCCGACTAGCCACTGCTAGCCCTTGCCCTATTTTTATGATCGAATACTGGGGCTAACAGGTGCTGGGAAATGCCAAGGAACGCATAGCACATCAACGATCCCCCTAAGGCTAACAATGACCGTGTATTTGAAAGATTTTTGGGCAACACTGCTTGATCTTGCAAGTGTCACATTGATGCTTATATAGTATATTCATAAAAGGGAAAGAAAAAGATTTCAAAAAAGGAGCCACGATTCCATGTCCAAAGATCAGGGAGAAATGAAGGACTGGCTTGAAGGTTTTCCAGCTTGTTTTGATGGAATATCAATGACAGCTCAGTGAAGGTTTTGGGGGGAGCCTGGATCTTATGGACTCCATTTGTGGCATGAGCTTTGTGGAATGAGGATTTCAATCTCATACTGAGACAGTGCTATAGTCATAGGACTGCCCTTGTTATATGCAGAGGAGGCAACCAAGGAAGGCCCCATCATTTGTCTGACCTGCCCACTTTCTTGCAATATGGCTGGTGCAGGAATTTGGGGGTTGAGACATAAGTGGCTTTCAGGGTTTCCTGGGTCTTCCTGTTAGCAATGGCAAGTGGCAACAAATCCCTAAGCAACTTCAGTAGCATTGGCTTAACCATGAACACCATCAACAACAACAACAACATGCATCAAGAATCCTTCGTTTTAGCCAAGGGAGATCCTGCCCTCATTATTCCGGTCACTATGGAGGTGCCATGTGACAGTCGGGGACAGCGTATGTGGTGGGCATTCCTGGCCTCTTCCATGGTGACATTTTTCGGGGGCCTTTTTATTATCTTGGTGTGGAGGACCCTTAAATACCTTTGGACAGTCTGCTGCCACTGTGGGGGCAAGAATAAGGTAACCAAATCTGTGAACTTTACAGTTAAGTTTTGTTGCTTGTCTGGGGGTTTGTTGATCTGGTTTGCTGGTTTTACAAAAGAAGGTGAGTTGTCGGAGTTTGTGGAAGTAGCTAGAGAATGCTCAACTGAATGGGATCAAAAGTGCACTCTAATTTTAGGATCTTATTATGGAAAGGCAGAACAGTTGGATAGTCTCTTGGCTACTAGCATACTTTAGTGTAATGTGATATTATTGCCACCACATGAGCAAGAACTGGATGACCATCACTGCTGGTTTTCAAGTTACTTTAGCTTGGGTGGTGAAAAATACAAAGTAATAGTGACTTACTGCAGTAATCAAGTGCTTCCAAAAAAACATAGCCACTAAATCTTAAGCATACACGTTGGACTTTAACGTGGTATTGAATAGGTGAATCAGTTGATCTTCAGCAACAACATATGATGTAGGAATAAAAAATGAAGTCAGCACGGTACAGTACAGATGATGAGAAATACGCATAGATAACTTTTCTGTGAATCGGGCTGCAGCAATTATACATCAAATCTTATTTTGCTTGATCATTTTAGTTCATTGCTATGGGATGCAAGTGGGAGTTAGGAAACTTAATTACACTGTAAACTAATAGATTCATAAATACCAGATTTTTTCTGTACTTGGATAGCAAACATAAGGATAGAAGCAAAAGACAAATTGGACCTGCCGGTGTCTTTTCTTAATTGGGCAGTGTCATTTATTAGCAATTCCAGTATTATAATTCATACAGAAGTTTGGATAAAATACATTAAAACAGAAGCAAGATGTAATTATTGGATGAAAGAGATTGCGGACTTACACTTCTCTCTTGCCTTGGACATAAGGCTAATTGTTGTAATGGGCCTAGCTGATATATTACTATTAGTTTATTGTTTAAATTAATTCCCTAATTCTTTTAGCTAGGTTTTTCTGATATTTGTTTTATTTTCACTTTGCCAGTTTGTTTATTTGTGTATTATTATTATTATTTTTTTTGAAATGTTGTATGCTCCAAAATTCTAGTAGTAATATCAGGAAGGTGACCTATCAAGTTGTAAATCTGTCATGACTCTGTCAAATAGCAAACCACTAGACGGCTGTTTGTGAACATCTTCATAATCATATCTACCCAAATGTAGCCCATATTTAAATTCTGCTATACTGCAAGAGCTTGCCTGATATTGGCTTCATTCCAAACCATGTATTTTTTCAAAGTTAAGTAAAGAAAAATAGGTAGAACTTTGTTTTTTTTAATTTTGTTAGCAGTCTGTTGTGGGAGTAGAGAGTAAGGGAAAGGCACCTGCCTTCCCCAGCGACAGTTAGTGTATGTTATAAGATGTCACCATCCGTTTTTATCAAATCGAAATGCGCAGACCAGTCCAAGCTGTGAGATGAAACAGGTCACAGCTCTATTGTGATTATGTATTTTATATTAATTAGAGAAAGTACTTTCCTTTATGCATCAATAATTTATCATGAATTGTAGCTGCCACAATACAGCTCTGCAGGTGTATTCTTCAAGAGATAATTGGTCTTGATGACCACAGTGTAGGAAATGGTATAGTTCACACGTGTCTTTAACAAGCACAGGGAAACACATAGGGAGTTTCCCCTACTTCTGTTACAATTTCAGTTATTCCAGTGAATGGATACAAATTCCTATAAGGGCTTAGTATTAGGGGTCACAGATCAGTGACGTGTTGCTTTAGCCAATAGCAGCCAGCCAAGTATAAGAATTTATTACTGTATCGCTCAGCTAATGACGGCTGATTTGTGATGGAGTGCCATGAGTCACCGGGCACCCATACTCTTTGCAACATATTAAATTAAGCTCTCTAATCATAATTAAAGCCATTTAAGATTTGTCATAGATGCATTATTACCCATATAAAATCTTTGAGATTGGTGCATCACACCATAAAGGCAATACATGAAATGTTGTGAAGCAGAGCTAAAAATAATTCAGAGGTTACCCAGAAGTAAACTGAAGTAGCTGGTGTGTTTCTCACTGTCCTCACTATGCAATTTATAAGTGCTAAAATGACTGAAGTAGAAGATACCCTATGGCAGTGTATGTATTATGTGACAAAATAACCTGATGATGAATACAGTTTTACAATGTCAAGTAGTGAAAGTGAATGTGTGATCAAGCTTTCTGTTCAGCTTAACAATATTTCATACAAGTGAACCTTCACAGGAGACACACACACACACACACACACACACACACACTGTATGTATATATATATATATTATATATACATATATATATATACATATATAATAAATGTAAATAAAGATACTTTATTTTAAAGCATATGGGCACCTGAAAAAAGAGGATTGGGACTTCTCTTATATAAGATAGTTGATAGGAGCTTTTACTTATCCTTTGCAAAGAATACCGGCCTCGCCCTGCTGGCCCTTTCGTACAGGCCTTAGGGTATAAACCTACTCATGCATTTTGGAGCCAAAGATGGAACACTTCACTCCCCCTCCCACCTCCGTGACTTCCCATCACTATCCTACCTTCGTAGAGACAGTTGCTAAGTATCCCTGTTGTGTCATAGCCCTGCAGGATAAGGAAAATGAAAACGCAGTATACAGCATACAATAAGAAGTCAGCTTGGCCTGCATTGTAAAAATCACAGAATGAATGTGGAAGTCACGGAGCACAGTTTTGCAGATGATTAAGAAAAAAATAGGCAAAATCATAGAAAATGTACAATTTTTGTAGTCAAGAGTAATTTGTCAGACCTATTAAAGATATGAGTTGAGGTTCTCATTAATATACAGCGTTCCTTTCTATGTATATCCTTTTTGAAAGTGAATAAAATACTATTTGGATTACAGCAAGGGTGGCATTTTAAATAGAAAGACCTACCATAAATATTTTATTTTCTTCAAAGGATGTGCCCGGTGCTAGCGCGGTGTGTATAAGTAGGGAGCAGCAGTTCAACCTTTTTGTTAGTTTTAAAAATTTGACTTTTTGTTTTTTCCTTAAACTCAAACCTGCATTGTTATATTTATAATCCTGCACAGGCGAAAACCCCTCCAATAACGGGGAACTGCAGTTAAATGCAGTGTGGTGACTATTCTACTAATGTTGGAGTTAGTACTATGTACTAAAGTGTCTGATGGAGGAATTGTAGGGTCTGTGTATGAAAACCAGAGAAATTAAAAGTGCAAAACAACGTTTTGCCCATAGCGGCCAATCAGTTACTTTCTGTCACTTTCCCAGAGAACAAGAGATAAAGCTTAATTGGTCACTTTGGGCAATAGCTCCACTTTTGTCCCGGTTTGCTTTCTCCAGTTTATATGAATGGGCCCTTTTCCAATTGATTCTTCTGTTCATACTGTCGTCTGCCATAGTCTGTGTGGGCGACACATTTCTTTTTTTCAGAATATTTCATATAGTACACTTACTGGTGAGAGAAGATTTAGAATTGTATGTTCCAAAGTTCCAGAAAAGCCAGCGCTTTTGATGGTGTAGCACGGTACCTTTTGTATGGAAAGAATAGGTTAACGCTACTTCTATAAATGTGTCAGGCTAGAACCTTATTTCCTCAGTAATATTGACAATGGCTTAATACATAACTTGGAAATCTATTTTTTCTGTAGCCCACATTGCATCACTGTTTATTTGTGGAATTATGTCACTCCTGGTATGGTTTATTCACTGTAGATGACGGGTAGAGAAGTAAAGCAGACCCAAGGCTCTTGTTTACTGGAATAGCCAGAATCTGGAGTATTGACTATAATAGAAAGTTAGGCAAAGCTGTAGTTTGCAGGAGTAGTGTACACTCATGCACTGCAGTAAATATTATTAATCTCTTTGCGAATGAAGGTAACAGAAAACTTATTGACCAGAGCAAACGCTGCAGTTTTCACTGAGTACAGTGTACCCAATAACTTATTTGCTTTCCATTACAGAATTATTTTCACACCGACTTTTCAGAACCTGAGGCTTTCACAATTATTTGTTTATAAAATCATTCACAATATGTTTTATTTACAAATTCATGACTTTTCACTGTTTAGTGCCTAACATTTGTATTAAATAATACTAAAATAAAAATAATTTCACTAAAACATGTAGACTACAGGGACTCTAAAAATGTATAGGTTGTGATACATATACTAACATATACAGTAGTTCATAAACAGCTGTATATTTTTTTTGATTTCAAGGGATTGTGTTTTTTCTCATACATTTCCTCTTTGCCTCAGGGTATAGTCAGTGCAGGATTTGTCATAAAACATTTCTTCTCTTTTTCTTTTCCTTCAAATAAAAGTGGTTCCGTGAATATGAACTGTTATTTTTTCACTGAAGTATCAATCAAAAGTCATTATTTTGTTTGTTACCATTGAAAGAGGAAATATATTCAGGTATTTATTTTGGTTAGAGGACTACCCCATGTGTGTCTTTCCTACTGTTCCACTGCACTGGCATCCCATAGGGTCCAGACTGAATGGTGACCATGTGACTTTCAGGCTATATTATGTCCGTGGTCCATTTTCTAATGCTAAAAGTGTTTAGACTGGCAGAGTAATATAAAAACATCAAGGTCACCCCAACAATAAAACATTTAGAGCATTATGTATATCCAAGGATAATTTTTTACATCAGATAATTTTTATTAAATTTATAAAAAGAAAAATATATAACAACACATATAACACAAATGCATAAGAAACAACCAAAAGCAATAACACCACAAAAAAAAAAAAAAAAAGGAAACCCCACATCCACCAAATGCACATATCAATAAAACAGTATCCAGGAACTAACTCATTTAGCTCAAATCACCTAGGCACATATGGACATTTACATCACTGCTGTAATTCAAAAAGAAACATAGAGACTTGGAATTGGATTAGTCAAATTATATCTTGAGCTCACATATATGACACGTATATGTCTAAATAATAATAATAGTAGTAACATGAAGAAATTCTAGAGTGCCCTTAATGAGTACTATAGTGTA